AATGCCTGAACTGTAAAAGTCATCCTAGGTAGTGGCTTGTTTGCTCTGTCTTGGCTGTACTGATGTTTTGGAGATTTCTGGCTGTCATGAGCTGTCTCCTTCAATGCAATGAACCTGGCCAAGATGCAGTAAAATCAACACATGCTCAAAGATCAGTCTATAAGTACCTATCCTATTATTGGTCCTTGCTTAATAACATAGGAAAATAACTGATCCCTTTGCCCTCATAATCAAGAATCAGCATTTAGAAAGGTAACTAATGCTACCAGGTGATATACATCACAGAACTCTATTCTGACTATTCTTATCCTTAAAGAACAAGTGCAGGACAAGATCTGATACTAATCAAACACTGTCCTGAGAAGCAAAACCCAACAGCTGCCAGACAAACTCTGATCTAGAGACGATGAAGTATTTTATTCCAAGATAATTTTTTCGCTTTGAAAAATTGTCTTCTGCTAAACCTTCCAAGACCACAGAATAGGATATATATTCTGTCTTTAAGACTTCTAACACTTAAATCCATCCCATTTCTGCTGGGGCCATCAAAAGAGGTTTTGACCTTAATTTCTAGCTTAAACCTTTGTCAAGTCCTGAGTTTGAGATGGATTTAACTGTAATTTGCAGAAAATTGAACTGGTTTTGTATATGCTAAAAGCTGTATTATTTCATCCCTGGTTCTAGATTTCTCTGCCATTAAACTCAATTATTTAGCTTCATTTTACCCAGTTTGGACCTCTCTATGTTTTGGAAGATTTCAATAGCTACATAAGTGGCTAGGCAATAACTAACAAAGAAAATACCAGCCCAGTGTAACTGGAACAAAGGAGCTGTAAAGCACAAAAATGGTCACTGAAACTCAGCAGAAATTAGAGCTCAGTTCAGAGCCCAGGAAAGGCTGGAACAGCAGTTCTGAGGTGCAGAATGGCAATTTGTCCACTGGTAGTTTTATAACTCTTCACGTAAAATCAGTAAACCATCCCAAGTCCTTTTTTTTTGGATAGGTTTCCACTAACATTTTTCATGACTTGTCTACAAAATGAAAAGGCTGTATTATTTCCTCTATGACATGAAACTGAGGAAACCAAAAATACTGTTGTTATTATTGTAATTATTATTATCATAATCATCATTCTTCGTGTTGTTATTAGTGTTTAGAGTAGGAGAGGGGAATGTGGAGACACTGTGAAACCAACACGTGTTGCCTTACTATACAAAACAATACAAACAAAATTTGTTGACTAAGCTTTGCATGCTAATAAATTTGTTATGACTCCATCCAATTATGGCACATTCAGCAGTTTGCATACCACAATGAAACCTGCAATTATAGTTTTTGTGACTTTAATTTCCAGACGAGTTGATGGGATTGCTGTTCAGCAGCTTCTAATCTGGTCTATGTTTTTATGTCCCACATGAATTTTGTTGCACATTGCACCTTTCCATTTGTTATTTAGAAGACAGGTGCACAGAAAGCGAAGCTGGTGATGTCAGACCAGGACTTGTTAGCCTCTATAAATTGCAACATATTTATCCTAGAAAAGAAGCTCCATTTTAAGCATAAATTTCACTAATCAGTAAAATCTAGCTAATGAGTATTTTCTATTATATTTGGTTTACCATATTAAAACTGTTTGTTGAATAGGCTCTCATTTTGAGCTGAGAACCTTAGTTAGAAATATGCATATTGTGGGCAATCACCATATGAATGTAGTTATGGCTCTGTCAATAAAACAGAATGGGCTCTGGCCATCTCTTGAATGTATTTTTTTTAGAAAAATGTAGACCTGAGATCTCAGAGAGATTTGCTGACTGACCACCAGCAAGCAAGAGAAGAAATCTAACAGTATTTCAGGCTACAGCCTCTGAAGGGAAAATGGAATAATAAAATTGTCCTAATCATCACATGTTCTGCCTCCTAAAAGTATCTGTTAGGAAACATAAGCTTCATCTGCATCAGTGAGGATGTGGGAGAGGGTTGTGGAGAAGCAATTCTGGTTTATTACATGTGGTTACGGGGAAAAAGCTGAGCTGAGCCATGGGAAGAATTTAAATGGAGAAATATACCCTCTTGCACGTCCTATCCCAAATGAAAGAAAAAAAATAATTAATCTGTCACTGTCAACAATATCATGCTTTTCTCCCTTAAGTTCCAGCCTACTGTTAGGAGTAGCTCAAATCCACATGGAGACTGCGGAAATATTGACATGGAGCCGTGCCCACAGTTCTACTCACAAAGAAAGCTTATTCCTAAGAATAAGTAATTAAGACTAAAATAGCTTACAGAGAGACAGACAGACTGGAAGTTATGACTTCAGTAATCCCTGTGGTTCCTGTTGTTTCAAATACGAGAAAAGGACAAGGCCAAAAAAAAAAAACTGAGGGAAATTTTAAAGAACTGAGAGTGGGATGGCAAGTGAATATGGGATATGAAGAATGACACATAAAATTATCCAGCCAATTGGATTTATGGAGAACAGAATTCCTGTGCCACTCAATATTTTTTTTAAAAAAAGCAGTAGCAGTTGGAATTCAAGAAATGAATCAGTAAAATCTTTATCAGAAGAACAACGAGAAGCATAGCTGGGTGATGAACGATAAGCTAAGTTAGGAAAGCTAAACAACAGAATGTAAAGCTAATGGCAACGTTTTGCAGAAACACAACATTTACATTCCTCTTCACCCTAGTTTGGACAGAAATTATAACCAGTTAGAAAGCTTTATTTCACCCCTCCCATTCCTGCACCCCCCATTTAAATGACTGTGCATGGACCCAGGCCTACAGAGCATTGGATCCGCAGACCTGAAGTCCAAAACAACCTTAGAGAAATATTCTGAAATTTCATTGGCTTTCAGCAAGCTGTAAGGCTGAGACAATATAATTATATTTCTAATAAAACAGCTGTATTGTAAGAGTGCTTGGGAAAAACATATAGTGCTGGGTAACTAAGAAATTGTTTCACAGTTGCCTTATATATATTTTTCATTATTAAAATCATCCACCTTTACAGTAGGAAAATGTCAATTTAACTATTGAACAACACTGCTGGAGTTGACTAAAGCAAGGAAGCAACTGGCATGGATGAGCTCAGAGCCATATGAACTACTGATCTCACACTGGACAAATATGATCTTTCTAAACTCAAGAATTTGAAAGTAAGAAGGCAAGAGCAGAAAAAAATATCCTGAAAATGAACTTTCAAACTTAGAAAAAATGAATTTTTATCACAGTTCCTAAATATCTCTTTCATTATGTTTGGGACTTCTGCAAATGAAATGTCTTCCTGAGACATGTAAAAATGTGTAAGGTGGGTGCATCTGTTGCTGCTCAGTTTTAACAATGGTCATTCTATCTTGTGGCATTTTGAAAAACACTCCAAAATCCTCTTATTGGAAGGCAAAATAAACTAACTCCAAAGTATTCTCATCAAATCTATAAATATCTCAGTTACTGGAAGAGCACTAATGCTACCCTGCAGGTCTATCAAACAATGAGACAAATCGTAAACTTCTCTGCTGTTACTTAAATGTGAATAATTAATTTTTGCATGTGGGTAGTAGGCTATAGAACTTCAAAAATGAACCACACATCTGCATTTGAAGGAAAAATGCATTTGTCTGGAGGCTATGTAGACATATTACCTCTGATTTGAGTGGCATACTAAGATGGCTGTTTTGATTTTCATCAGTATACAGGCAAGTCTCAAGTGTCATTGGTTCCTACTGAAACTAAATATGTTAGTATGCAACAGATTTATTTTAATTGTTTTACTATTAAGTATTACAGCAAGCACTGAAGACTACCAAATTCTCTAAAACAACTGAGAAGTAGGCGTGCTACCAAATAGAGCAAAATTGAAGTGCATAAGAAAAACTGAGACATAAATGGTATCACAAGCTGTTCACTCAGAAAAGGTAAAAATTAACCCGAGCCAACAAAGAAAGCAGGAATACTTCATTATACACCTGGGATTTAAAAAACGTTACAGAGGAGCATAATTATTCAGATTTTTATTATGAAGCTTTGCATTCCTTTCACATCTGTGATATACGTTTGGATTTTTAGAGAAGGTATATGGCATTTAATTTAATATGCAGTGGGAAATTATAGCAGAGAAAAATTAGTACCAAGTGTCCATTATTCAGTAGGAAAGACATGGCCAAAACACTACCAATTTTTTGTTTCAGAGAAATATTAAAATGTCAAAATTTCTCATTTCTAATCAGAACTGAAACCTACACTGTCAATAGTCTTGGCTTGGAAAAAAGCCATAAAACTATTTGAAATCTGAGGCTGTTGTATTCTGTCTTCAGGTTTTCACCATCTATATGGTATTTCATACCACAAACAGTAATTACACGTCATAGAATCATAGAATGGTTTGGGTGGGAAAGGACCCTAAAGATTATTTAACTCCAATCCCCCTGCATAGGCAGGGACACCTCCCACTAAAACAGGTTTCTCAAAGGTCCATCCAACCTGGCCTGGAACACTTCCAGGGATGAGGCATCCACAACTTCCCTGGCCAACCTGTGCCAGTGTCTCACCACCCTCACACTAAAGAATTTCTTCCTCATGTCTAGCCTATGAATTCTTCTACTACTGACATAATATGATGCATGAAACAGTGCATCTTATTTTATTGGAGGGCAATCCTTAAGGCACAAGCAAGTGCAACACCTTTCTCTGAAATTGAACTGTCCTTCATTGCATTAACACAGTTGCAGGGGTCCCAGAATGACCTTTCCAGCCGAGCCTCAAGTCCCTTGGCCAAGTTAGAACCGTGCTCAGATCACAACTTCCAATGTGCTCCCATCCACTCCCTTTGAAGAACATATCCCTCCCTCTCCACTGACACTGCCATATATAGAAAGACCCCAATTCAACTTCTGTCTGCTATCTAAGAAAGGACTGTCCCACTAGATGGCACTCGGGGGGACTGGAACATGCAAATACGAAATAAAAGAAAGTAATAAAAAAGTTGACTAACCTAACCCACCTGAGCTCGGCTCACAGGGATCAATGTCCTCATCATCACTAGGACATTCAGCTGAGGCCACCAGGATGTCATCTGTGGTCTGCAAAGAAAATAAAATAGACATGTTTTAATTGACTGAACATGTTGTAAGATTCTCATTGACCTTTCTTTTACTGTGTGGATTTACGCCAGGCCCAGAGCATTCCAGACTTCACATGTAATGGCACAAAGACACTCTCCAACTCTGCATTAACAGGACTTTGCTTTTCAATTTGCACTTGTCAGTTTTTTGAAGTATGTTATCCAGTTCAGGCACTTCAACATTTTAATATTTTTTTGTAATAAGAACAGAAAGTTGAAGGATAGAATATATACACTGGGGCTCCTGGTCCTCACTGCTGACCTCCAATATCACTATTATGATATTGCTGAAAACACTAAGAACATTAAAAAAAACAAGTGTAAGTATTGAACTGCCCACAGCTGTTAAAACTACTAGAAATGTAATGATGTTCTCTCCTTTAATTGCACTTGCTTTCTCAGATGTAGAGACAAAAAAAAAAAAAAAAAAAAAAGGAAAAGAAGTAAATGCTACTCTCATTGAGAGTAAATATATGCAGTGCTAGAAAGCATCACTCTATTTTCTCAAGTAAGTGCAAGCATAATATTTTCTTAAATAAGGGAAGAATTGCCTCAGTGTTGTGTTTAGGTCCAAGGGATTCTAGAAACATCTCTCCAAAATAGGCTTGGACAGTTCTTTGTATATAGAAATCAAATAAATCAAGGCAGAGGAAAAAAAACAACAGGGAGTATATGATACAACACACTATAAAGAAATTTGGGATTCCTATCTACCACTTCTTAAAGTGCAAGAACAAGGAGATATTCAAAGAAACACTTAGGCAACCCATGTGAACCTGATAAAATGAAATGCCTTCTCTTCAAGTTACCTCTGAGGATAGTCACTTAGAAATGCAGTAAGAACATCCACAGTTCTTACAGAAAATAATAGCAGGGAAATAAAAACTGTCATGCTCCTGGTCATTTCTCAAGCAATTACTAATGAGGTTAGCAAGAAGCCTTTCCTATGGGCAAGGCATTTCATAACTGTCCATTTCAAGTTTCTTTTCACCTCAGTGAAAGAAATATACAAAGAGAATTGAAACAAAAGGTTAAGGATATAGCAGGCAAAAAGCCATTACTGGATTCCTGTAGGACATCTAGGCCAAGGAGGAGGTACAAACAATTTCAGTCAACATGAAACATTCTTGTCACTTTTTTTTCTCTCCACGAGTATAGAGGAAGGACATAAAATACATCACAGTTTTACTTAATCAGTTTAAGCTTGAACATGTAAAAATTTCTTTTCTGTACAATAGGGCCAAACCTAACCAGTGTTGATTATCATTAAGTCATTGTTTACCTCTAGTTTAAAGCAAAGCATATTACACTAATAGGCTTTTCTTTGCCATGCTTGAAGAATATTAATGAACATATATTTTCAGCACTTCTGGGACATAGGAAAGTGATACAGGAATACATTCAATAATATGTGAGGCATAGCAAAGAAAAGCCTATTATAATAATATTAAATTTTACAGGAAGTAGATTGAGGCATGAGAGAATGAGGTAATAAGACTGAGACAACACCCATGTTATGTCACAGTCTGATGCTGTAATCACAAAATTTATCTTTCCTTATGTCTGACAAAATATATAGCTGGGGAAAACCACTCTGTAAATCTGTAATACTGCCAAAATTAGCTGGCAGATTTGCAGTAAGAGTTAAAAAGACCAAAAAAAAGTATTCTAGCTGTCCATTCTTTCTGTCATGTAGAAAAACAGAGTTATAATGAAAGCCACCTGCAAACAACCTCTTGATTTTCTGATGTCCATTTATTTTCCCCAGAATACAACCATTTAAGCTTGAAAAGCAACATCTTAAGAGTTTTGGTGGAAAAGCACCTGTTTTTCCTAAAGTATAGAGAAAAAAAATAAACAACCAGGTAACCAATAAAGCCTGCATATAGTTAAGTCCATACTGTAAAAACCACAACTAATAAGTATAAAAAAGTACTTATGAGTATAACAGTATCGTGAATATCCCAAAAAATTTCAATTTGGTCAGTGAAACCACTGTGATATTATTCTTTCTGCCCGTAACAGTGGAGAGGACTCTACCAGCAGCCAGAATTCTAAACATTTACCAATTGATGACTGGGGAATTGTACACAAATACCACACAAACAGAGAGGATCACATGCATACATCACAGCCATAGCAAGAAATTATGAAATCAACCGGTTTCACTGGAATTTTCTTTAAGAGTGCTCTGGTATATGCATAGAGGAGTAACCCTTGTAACTGGAGTTAACTGAGGTTGAAATGATCAGACTTATTTAGAGAACTATTGTAATGTCTCTGATTATGCTTGGTATAGGACAGTATTGTCAAGAGTTTACTTCAGGTAACTCTACTTTTTGTACACTTTGCAGTGCATTCAAAATTACCAGTAAATAACTATGAAAAAATCATACACTTTATCTTAATGTATGAGAGATACTTTGCTCAGTTACTTATAAAAGGGAGTGTCAAAACTGTCTTTATAAAACGACACCAATTCCAAACTATGGAAAGAATATTCACACTTCTACAAGAACAAAGGCATGTTCCTTACTGGTAAATGTGCACACATATTATGGATACAGAAATGAATAGCATATTAAAGAAATGTGAATATAGAATGTCAAGAAAGACCTCATTAATGTCTCAGAGGTTTAAAGGAAATACTGTATGTTTCAAAGTCAATACTAGATATAAAACGAATTTTGTTGCAAGCATCAAGTATCAGTATTTGAATAAGAAGGGAAGCGGTAAGATGATGTGAAAAATGTTTTCTTCAGAAAAATACGTCAAGAATTCTGGTTTAAGTATCAATTAACAGATGTGTCACAACTTCCCCCTATTCTCCCCTTCCCTCAAATCCAAATATTTTTCCTTCTTCTCATCCATATTTCTATCAGAAAAAAGGGCAAAGGAACAGGAAAGGCAAGTGAGATGGCAGTGACCAAGCTGCAAATGGAAGCCATTGGACTGCTTAATATAATTTAAAATGGGATTAAGAATTAACTAAGACACTAGAGAATACAAAAAATAAATAAATTAAAGAAATACTATGGGCTAGTGAACAGACTTCTTTCTTCAAAACAATTCTGACTGACAGGATTTTAACTGAACAGAGGGTAGGATTTAGACCTAGGGGTCTCAGGCAACCACAAGCTACAGATAAATAATACAAGATAGAGTAACATGTAATATGTTTCACTTACTGCTCATTATCTTTTCCTCATGCTTTTTAATTTTGATAAACATATTTTAAACAAATCAGTTATCCTTAGTGAATTGCAATCGTTGCTAGCACTATGGTTAATTTACAGGACACTGCTTCGAGCATTCTCACTAATCAAGGATTTAAAAGTCAGTGGAAAATCCCTTATTTACAGTGAGTGCCTAATAGGATAACATCCAACTGGTATCATCACAATACATGATCGGATTAGAACGTCTCTTGGGTAAGTTGTTCAAATTCATTTAAGAAGTGATACTCTAGTTGTAAAGGATTTAAAAAAATATTAAAATAGCAGGTGTACAACCTGGAAGTCCAGGCAGAATTTCTTTTGATTGTATCTTCTTTTGTTTGTATATTTTTAGAGCTTTTCAGATGAATTTTGTGGATGTGGTTGAATGATGTAAAATGCAGTGCACTGTAATATGTGGCTTCTTAAAAAGCTGGACATCTGTTAACATTTCAGAAAAAGGACAGTATAAAAAAACCCTTACAATTAATGTGCCAATGTAAAAAATCGACCAAAAAAATTCACATTTTGCATTAGTCACTGCATAATGTAATTTCTGATTATCAGTCATGGGTGTGGTCCCTGCAGGAATAAGTCTTGCTTACATCAGTCAGGTCTGCTTGCAAAAAATAAGGTCTTTGGGATTTGTGCCTTAGCCAAGATTTTAAAATATCATCAATCTGCTACCTTGCCTGAGGAAGGAAATGGTGACTATTCCAATAAAGCTCCTGGCTAGATAAAAAAATTACACTCTAGTCATGGCTTAAATACAGTGACAGTCTGTAGCTATGGATAAATATCAAGATGCCGCAAAGATTACTACCATGGGTTCAAAACTGGTATCACCAATTATGGTTGTATCCTTCTAATAGTGCTCTTTGAATGCTACATCATTAGAAAATAATTGCAAATGAATAAACAATAGGGGAAAGCGATTTTTATTATTGTTCAGTTTTTGCATGACTGGGCATAAATACATACCATCTTTTCCAGTTTTTATGTATGAAGACTGTTATATGTTAGGGTACCAGAGAAGTATGATCTAAAAATTAAAGCTGAATTTCTCATTCATTAACAGCATAATGGATCCCACTTATTTTCTCCTGTAGTATTCCACCAGCTCTCCTTTAAATTATAGCACCCTACAGCTACTCTGAATATGGTTTATTCCTTTCTTGTTCAATAATATACTTTTTCCCATGAGAACTGCAAGTAAATCCAAATTACACAATAGTTAAAACTAGAAGTCCTAAATTATTATATGAATTATAAACACCATAACTTTTGTGACAACCATTTAAATTATTTCACTTCAACTATGTAATCAAAACTATTCTGATTTATTTGTACAGATTTGGTGCTTAATGGTACCAGCCAGGCACTTTAGCACAAGATACAGCTTGGTGCTAAAGGCAGCTCGAAGGAAAAGGCTCTACTCTGAGGAGCTTACAGTTTGATTTTGGACCACATGCAATAAATGAGGGGGTGGGGGGGAAGCAGAGGATGAGAAGGGTCAGGTGAGGATGCTACTGAGAAGCACTAGTGGTTACGTATGATCTGATCTGGAATATTTTCCAACATGATGCTCCAAGACAGCAGGAAGGAAGGTCAGAAAGAAAGGAGGTAAGAGACAAGCCAGGCAGGAGAAGTCCATGACTGGCCAAGGAGATGCTCGGAACAGATGGTGCCTGGAGAGCACTGCATGCCTCTCTGAGGAAATGGTGTATTTAAAACCTT